TCTCTTGTGGAGCTCAGGCTCTAGGTGTGTGGGCTTCAGTAGCTGCAGGACACAGGCTCAGTAGTTGTGGCTGAGTTGTCCCACGGCATGTGGAATCTTCCCAGACCAGGGATCATACCTGTGTCTCTTGCATTGGCAGGCGGATTCCTAGCCACTGTGCTGCTGGGGGGTCCTAGAACACTTTTAAAAAAATTGTTTGCAAGTGAGCAGTTGCGCGCGTGTGTGCGCGCACACATACACACACACACGTGCATACACATAAGCACACATATTTTCTTTTAACCAAGGAACTGACCAGACCGGTTTTATATAATGTAAACATCATACCCAGTTACACGTGAGAAATGAAGAGAATACCCCAGTGGGCTTCTGAAGTTTACAACTGTCCTTGTGAGCAGGTGTCAAAGCTAAACCAAGCCTGAGCCGCAGTGTGCCAGGCCATGAGACCAGAGTCAGGGGTTCCGTGAAACCTGGCAGGGCCGCCACCTTTCACCACTGCTGACAGGTGGAAGGTTGCCCAGCTGCTCTGAAGTTGCTGACAGTCTTATCAGGGACTTCAGCCGTAGGCTGTCAGGAGCAAGTTCTCAACTTATCACGACAAGGAAGACATTTTTCAAGTAATAAACAGTGCTCGGGTCATCTTGCAGAAGCCCATGTCAGCGTGAACAAACCCTAGAAATAATGTCTTCCAGCCTGCCTGATCTCAGCCTCTGTGGGAATACAATTCAAGTTCCAGCCAGGAACCTGGCACACCCAGGAAGGTGTGTCCCGCTGGCACCTTGAAACTCCAGATAAACATCTTCTGCTCCTTCCCGTGGTCACTGGAGACTGGAAACAACCCAAATATCCATCATTAGAAGACTGGTTACATTAATGATGGTGCATTTAAACAGGGGAATGCTACACCGCCATTTTAAAGAATGAGATGTACAGACTTGGAGAGGATCCCCTCGACCAAGATATATTCTGGAGGGGAAAACACAAGATTCAGAACAGTGAGGATGGTATGCTACCTTTCGACAAAATGAAATAAAACAGGAGTGCCTTATGCATATGTATTTTATTTTGTGTTCCATGTATCATTTATCTAAAAGTATATTTTTCAGCTTTATTGAGATTAATGTACATACCATAAAATTCACCTCTCAACTGCACTGTTTGATGAGTCCCATCAGGTGCATGATACGTTTCAATCCCTCTGTGACGTTCCTCCAGATCCCTTTGTAGACAGTCCCTGCCCCTTGGCCCCTGGCAACCATTTGTCTGCCTTCTATCAACACAGTTTTGCCTTAAAAATTGTTTTAAATTAAAAAAGAATTTGGAGACTTCCCTGGTGGTCCAGTGGTTAAGAGTCTACCTTGCAATGTGGGGGACCCAGGTTCAATCTCTGACAGGGATCTAAGATCCCACATGCTACAGGGCAACAAAATCTACTTAGCCACAACTACTGAGCCCATGTGCCACAACTAGAATCCACACACCGCAACAGAAGTTCCCGCATGATGCAACGAAGATGCTCTGTGCTGTAACTAAGACTCAGCCAAATAAATAAGCAAAAATAAATTAAAAAGGATTTAAGGCCAGGTAATGAGTAGCTCAGTGATTCTGTCTTCAGAAGTCTACAGATGCTTCCTGCAGGAATTTGGTTGTATGGAAGGGATAGAGTAGAAGTATTAAATCACTAGGAATCAGGGAACTAATGACCAAAACTGATTTCTCCACCCAGAACAACTGTTTTGAAGAGGAATTTGCTGCTTTTCCCACCTCCCAACCACTCTTAAGTACTAGCATTGAGCAGACCTAGAGAATTTGATTTTTGCCTAGAATGTCTTTAAAAGACCTGGCCTAGTCTTAGGTCATTTGGTAACAGATTCCATTCATTCCACAGATGTTGGAGGCCCATTGTACTGGACACTCAAGAGGTAGAAAATCCTAGTCCCTTGCTCTCTGGGGGCTCACCTTCCAGAAGGGATTCACACATGTAAACCAGGAGCTACAAACAGGTGGCCTGGGGGCCTTGGCCAGTTCTGTTTGATGTGTTTTGGAAAAAAAGCTGAATTACAACGTGCTTAGTAGAACACGTTCCCTCTGATTCCTTACTATGTTGGCTTTTCTCAATTTATCTTATCTGCTAGGGCCCTGAAAGCATTTGAGTTTGAGACTCAATGTGGTAAGTACAGCATAAGATGTATGTGTAAGAACTGCAGCAAAGGCTGGGGATGGTGAATACCTTCTTCAGGAGGGAAAAGAGCAGGAGGAGGCAGGTCTTCTGGTGTCTGAGGTCTGCGGAACGTCACAGCAAAACCCTAAGACAGGCCCTGGGGCAGAAGTATGGCACGGTCTTTCGTCACCAGCAATCACCAGTGTTGTTTCAATATTTTAAAAGTGTTCTCTCACCATCTCTGAAAAGACAGCTTAGGAAATGATCCTTTAACTGAATGTCATGAAGAATCATCCTTCAATGTATGACTTCTGATTGGAGACCAGCTACAGGAGCAAGGCAGAATGTAGTTTGAATGATGATTAAAGGCCTCATTACTGTGGGATTTCCTCGCTGAGTTTTGTTCCCATCCTCCTCTTCCTTTCTTGGCAGTAGCACTTAGCAGCAGGACCAACTCCTACCGTGAGGAAAGAATATGGGTCATGAAGGGGAAAGTTCTCTGAACCACAGCCTCTCCCCCTTCCAGGAATAACCACCTGCTCATTCTTTCACCTGCCAATGCTATGTGCTTGGGATCCAGGCTCCTGAAAACCCGCATCTCAGCACTCTTGGTCCTTCCACTCAGTCTTTCACCTCCCTGAATGTATGGCATAATTATCTTAAGATGATTAGCTAGCTACACCCCTGGTACAGTCCAGGTACCAATGCAGCCACCCTAGTTGGTGTAACACCCTCCATAACAACTATCCTTGTTGATACCATTTCATCCATGATTGCTGAACACCTAGCATGTCCATTCTTGTTGATTTGACACCTCCTGTATCAATACCTTTCATAACAGCCATCCTCGAGGACAAACACCTTCCATAATGGCACTCCCCATCAATGCGACACCTCCTGGTGGCTGTCCCGACCCCTCTGGATGAGGAAAGCATGTGTCTGTCTGGTCCCAAAGTGTTCCTGGAGTGTGTAGTCTTCCTCTGCTGACCTGCTTTACCTTGGGGCTACCTAGTTTGCCACAGGAGTCAGCTGTGTTGACCTGACTCATGTTCATTTGAGGGAGCTTTGTTCAAAGACTTATTCTCCAGGTCAGGCTGTGTGGGTGGATCTCCCCTCCCCCTCCCCTTGCCTTTAAGACTGCTGGAACCAGTAGTAACTACAGTAACCGTGGTGATCATTTCATGATGTATATAAGTCAAATCGTTATGCTGTACACCTTAAACTCACACAGTGCTATTTGTCAATGCTACTGCTGCTGCTGAGTCACTTCAGTCTTTGATATCTCAATAAAACGCCCCAAAAAAATTACTAAAAAAATCACTGGAAACACCAACACCAAAAGGTACTGATCCCTAGTCCCTAAAACAGGAGGTTTAGACAAAAGGATGTTTTCCAAATTGGCTACAGCCCTGGCCCCTGGAATATGATATACCCACATTCCCCAGTTCTGTCCCACAACTGATCAAGAGGTTGCGTCTCTGTAGTTAAGAAACAGATAAGACCTGGTGTGTGTAGATTCTTATTTAACCATCTCCCTACTAGCTTTTTATCAGAGGAACTAAAACAACTGGTCTCTGATGGCAAGGTGAGACCATTGGCAAAGGACTTCAGGGAAGACGAAAGAAATGGGAGTTTCAGTAACTTCTGAACTCCTGGATGGCAGGGCAGAGAAAGGACCCCCGCCCCCTGCTGGCGCCCCTGAGCACACGCACAGATGGGTTTGTGTTCTGTGTTTTTGGCCACACCACGCGTCACGTGGGAGCCCCCCACTGGAGACTGAGCCCACACCTCCTGCAGTGGAAGACTTAACCACTCTTCCACTAGGGAAGTCCCCAAATGGGTTTTTTTTTTTTTTTAACTCTGCTCCTTTGATTCTTCCCCATCTGTGCTTGTGATCCTCAGTGACTTTTAAGGTCGTCGTGACCAACACCTCAAGGTCTGGCAAAATTATTCTTTTTAATATTTCATAAGATGTTAATGTGATTTACATTGGCCCTGTGGCACTTTAGCATAGCATCATGAATTATGTACAGTGGTCATAAACTCAGTATATTTGTTTAATTCTGCAATCACCGAGTGCAGAGTCTCTTACTATGTACCTTTCTCTCCCTGTGTAAACTTCTTTGAAATCATCCTTCCACTCAGTACAGTTCCATTCAGTCTGGAGTTAAATGTTAAAAGCCCAGGTCTTAGGGTGGCAAGAAGCCTTAAAGTGGCCATGGTCTCAGAGGGGTTTACACATAGATGTGTTCATTTATTCCAGACTGTGGTCCAAACGCTTTCCTGGTGGCTCAGTGGTAAAGAATCCGCGGTAAAGAACCCAGGAGACCTGGGGTTTTATCCCTGGGTCGATAAGATCACCTGGAGAAGGGCATGGCAACCCACTCCAGTATCCTTGCCTGGAGAATTTCATGGACAGAGCAGCCTGGTGGGCTCCAGTCCATGGAGTTACAGAGTCGGACAAGATGGAGCATGTACGATGTCCAAACAGCTCACTGCCTAGTTATGTGTCTCTAAGATACATCTTCGATAACGGTTTGTGTCTTTGATCATAAAAGGGAAAGACACAACAGAAGGGTTTAGATGGCTCCCTGCAAACCCCTCACCACTTAAAAACATAAATAATTCAAAGCACAAGCCCTGGAAACAGCCTATCGCTAGTATCTACATTGGAGAATCATTTAGTTACTTTAGAAAATGACTGTATCACTGCATATAAACTTCTCACCCAAGGAATTCGGAAATTAAGAGTAGGAAATGAATGCATGGCCACAACGGTCCTCTGTTTTGTTAAACAATTCAACAAGTCAGATTGATTGAGAATGCACAAGGTTCCTTCTAACCTTGCCCTTGGAAGTTTATTTTATTGTCTCCATGATTGTTCTAAGAGCTATGAAAAGAGTAAAGTAGTTTCTAATGGGAACCGTGGGTCTCTTTGACTGAGCAGGTGAGAACATGATGTCCTTTGAGCTCTGAAGTCTGTCGATGTGACTCCACAGGCTGGGCCCAGCCTTGTGCATCTTTGTATGCCAGCACCTGGCCTGGACCGAGCTCACCATTCCCTGGAGGCACGTGGCCACAGTCAGCCTTCTTACAATGGCAGCACCGCCCTTCCAGTCCCAGGTGCTTTGGGATCCGTGGGCCTCGGTGCAGACGTGGCCAAGTCTAAGAACTGTACCACTCACAACCAGTCCTGAAAATGGCACAGAAATGGCATCAAGAAACCCCGATCACAATGATATGAATCTGTTAAGGGGGAGGACCCCAGCTTCCTGAGGAACATGCACTTGGCCAAGAAGCACAGGAAGAAGGGCCTGAGGAAGAAGCTTGTCCACAGTGCCAAGGCCATGAGTGCATGCGCTGAGGCTATGGAGGCTCTCAAAGTCCAAGATCCCAAAGGGCGGCTGCTGCACGCTCAGTCAAATTACCTACACTGCTCACCCCTAGCCCAGGAAACATGCTTGTGCCCACATCGCCAAGAGTCTCGGGCTCTGCCGGCCAAAGTCCCGGGCCGAGGCTCACACCAATGCCCAGTCACTGGCAGCTGCAGCTGCGGCTCATGCTCTGGTTCCCAAAGGTGCCCAGGCGCCCACAAAGGCTCCAGAGTAGAGGCCTGGAGAAGGAGATGGCAACCCTCTCAGTATGCTTGCCCAGAGAATCCCATGGACAGAGGAGCCTGGCGGGCTCCTCTGGGGTCACAAAGAGTCGGGCACAACTGAAGCAACATAGCCCAGCACAGAGGCCTCTATCTGCCAGTGTGAGGACAGGAGGGCTGGTGTGATCCCTCTGCTACTGCTGTCTGCATGGGGCTGGTGTCCTCTGCCATTTGTGCAAATAAACCTGAGGCAGGACCTGTCAAAAGACAAAACAGTGGCAGCACCCAGTTGTCTTTGGGCCTTCCGCTTCTCTTGTGTATGCCCTGGTCCTCCTCCTGTGGCTTCTTCATTGCCCTGACCCCTGCCCCCGCCCACCCAGGGCTGGTCTGGGTCCCAGTTCCACCCTGGTGTGAGGTTGTACTTGGTCACCCCCAGGCCCTTTGTTTATAACTGTGGTCGATGTCCACTCCTTCCTGGTGTGTTGACTGATGATGGCAGTGTTTAGTGTATGGGCTTAAAGTGTGGCCCTGTTCTTTAAGGGGTCTGTGAAGCTCCTGTGCTGGCATGGAAACCTACTGTGTCGTTTCCAGGAGCCCCAGAGAGCTCCAGTTCCATAGTCTTGTATGTTTCATCGCAGAGAAGAATTCGGGGAGAGCAAAGTGATAGATGAGTGAAAGTGTCAGGCGCTCAGTTGTGTCCGACTCTTTGCGAATCTAGGGACTGTAAACCTCCAGGCTCCTTTGTCCATGGAATTCTCCAGGCCAGAATACTGGAGTGGGTAGCCGTTCCCTCCTCCAGGAGATCTTCTCAACCCAGGGATCAAACCGGGGTCTCTTGCATTGTAGGCAGATTCTTTACCACCCCGAGCCACCAGCAAAGCCCAAAAAGTGATGGATAAGCAGTGATTTATTAGAACAGGATGTGAGGTTTACAAGGGGATGGGCGAGCAATGCTATGCCCTGAGAACTTACCGGGCTACAGTTTTTTACAATCAAAGGAAAAGTGGGGAGGGAGAGAAGAACTTCTTTATCTTTCTTGAGTAGGCGTGATGCTTCCATCATCAGCTCCTCCTCCAAGTTGAGCAGGGGAGTTTTCTTGTCCCTACATGGTCAAGCTAGGTCCACAAATTATTTGTGTGTGTCTGTGCAGAGAGCGTGTCCTAACTTACTGAGTTCACTGGGCAGGATGTGGGTCTCCATGGCGCCATTGTTTCATTGTTTGGGGGCACGTCTTGTGCTTCTGCTGTATAGTTCTGCTGCCAAGCAAGCTTGCTTGGTTTTGTGGTTAAGCAAACTAACTCTCTTGAGTCATCATTAACTCACAGGGGTCTCCATGTTTTTCCTACTTATAATCCCCTAGTGGGAGTAACTATTTAATCACCTATTTTGTCCCTTCACTCTGTCCCTGTCAGAATGGCTGGCAAATTCTCGTTTCTTTTGGGGGCTGAAATGAGGCCCTGTCCCGTGGCCTCCTATCCCTCCAGACTTCCGACAGATGCTTTGCATGCATGCCCCAACCCTGGCCCAACCACCACGTGAGTGCTCAGCCGCTTATTTGTGTCTGACTCTGCAACCCCCACGGACTGTAGCTCATCAGGCTCCTCTCTCCATGGGATTTTTCAGGCAACAACACTGGCGTGTGTTGCCATTGCCTTCTCCAGGGGATCTTCCCAACCCAGGGATCGAACCCATATCTCCTGCATTACAGGCAGATTCTTTACTGCTTTGCGCCACCTGGGAGGACCCACTCAGCTTCTTTGTGGGGATGCTGGGGGGGGGGGGGGGCACTTGTTTTTTACTCCCAAGAAAGAGAATGAGAAAAGATTTGCCCTCTACTGCAAAAGGCTGCTTTTCCCACACCAACCCAGGGAATGAAGTGGGTGGAGTGGCGAGGGGGACAGGGTTGGGGCGGGGGGAGGTGTGCCTTCCCAGTCAGGCCCTGCCTGATTTCCGAACCAGTGAATGAGGGAGCAGCTTTACATCTCTGATACCTGAAAAGACAGGTGGGAGTCTCCCACCAGGAGAAGGTATTTCCTCCCCAGCTAACCAGAGGTCTGGGTTGAGAGTCTCGAAGCCCAAGTAAAGAGGAAGGAGGTGCGGTAGAGGGGGTTTGGGGAATTCTCCTTAAACCTAGGTGTGATTTCGCCCCTGAGGCCCACTGCCCGTGGCCTTCAGAAGTGAGCCTCTCCAGCCCGGATGTCTGGAGATGCTTTTCTTCCAACACCTGGCGCTGGCCCTCTGCACTCAGCGCTTCGCTCCAGAATGATGGCTGCTTTTTGTCTGCCACCAACTCAGCCACTTGCCTCCCACGCCCACAGCCCCGGGGCAGGCCTCACAAAGCCACCCACGTCTCCACACGCCAGGTTCCCTTTTCTCAGGTCCTTGCCTGGAGTTACTGCCAAAAAAAAAAAAAAATCAAACAGAAGAACCACACCCCAAACATTTTGGATTCCGGGGAAACTGTCAATCTTCAGTTTAAATTCAGAACCACATTTGCAAATAATTTTGAAGCAAAGTGCCTGTTTAACTATTTTAAATAAATGCCTGTCCCTTTTGATAGCCCAAAGAGTCCCTAGCAAGCCAGCCTCTGAAAAATGTTTCATTCCGTTTCGCTTGACTGTTGGGGAGAGTAGACGGTTCCCATCACCAGGCTCCTGGCTGGCCGCATGTGGAGTTCTCTGGGCAGGGCTGGGTCTGCCATGAGCCCGTGTTCGTGTGCTGGGCTCCAATATCAGACTGCTCAGGCTCCAGCCTGGCCCTGCCTCTTACTAATCACATGTGCCTGGGCAAGTTTCTTGACCTCTCTGAGTCTCGGCTTTGTCATCTTTAAAATGCGGATTAACGTTAGAACCTGCTCCGTGGGGTGGCCGTGGGCATTTTATCAAGGGCAAGCACAGACCCTGCACGTATTAAGTACTCAGTGTTATTCTGAAGGCTGGCCTGGTATCTTTACTCCAAAGGCTTCTCATTCAAGAAAGACTGGTTAGTTTTGAAATAGCAACTTGCCTTGCGGTCATTTTGGATGTGAATATGGGAAATTAACTATTTCCAGGCTGGAAGATGGCTGGTCTTCCCGCCACTCTTGAGAATTTCCCCTTGGTTTGCCAGTCCATGAACAGACCTGGCCCAGGCCATGCTAAAGAGATTTAGGGTGGCTCCACCAGTTTTTCCTCCACAGCCTGCAGACCGTGCGGCCCCAGGTCCACTGGATTAATAACACTTTAACTTTGGTGGCGTGAGAGTCTGGTACTCACTCCCAAAACAGGCCCCGTTTGATGGGTTATGTTGGTACCCGTGCCCAGGCCCTCGGTGTCAGCCAACGACTCCACGTACTTGATCACGATGGCAGCACTTCCTCCTCTCCTGCTGGTTGATGCCACCAGCTTTGGCAACTTCCGGGAGGGCGGCTCAGTGTAGTACCCTGGGGGGTGGGGAGGGCAAGTGTGCGGAGGTCAAACCAGAATCTCCCAGTTGCCTCCTGAGCTCAACAGACAGGGACATGAGGTCACTTCTCTGAGCCTCAAAGGGATGCTGAATTCGAATGAATCAGCACACGTGGAAGGACAGTAATAGCTGGGCAGGGCTAGGCCAGGGCAGGGGAGGCGTGGAAAATACTAGGAAGTGCTCACCCTTGCACAACCCTGAGTGTGATGGTTTGCCCCCAGGCACCTTACCTGCCCTGCCCTCTCCCGGCCCAGCCCAGCCAGGACTCGGCTCTCCATTGAGAGCCAAGCTGCTGTGACAGTTGTTTCTCTACTTAACACCCTCAGCAACTCCCCATGAGTACTGCCCCAGTGGTTGTAATGTGCTGTCTATCATTACTAATATCAACAACAACAGGTAACATTGATTGACTACCTGGCACCATTCTAAGCAATTCACAGGTACTTTCTCATTTAGTCCTTACAACTATGCCATTATTACGCTCCTTTGCAGATAGGAAAAGTAAGACAGAGAATGTAAGGAATTTGTCTAGCAGGATGTAGCTGGTAAGTGGTACCAAGCCAGGAATTGATCCCAGGCAGTCAGATTCTAGCATCCAAGCTTTTCACCACTACACACAGCTGCCAAGGTATCCTCGTCCCACTGGGTGAAGCCCGAACTCCATGGCAACAGCCAAGCCCTTCCCAGCCCGACCTCTGCCTCTGTCTCCAGCCTCCTCGACCTGCTCTCTAGTCAAACCAAACTCCCTGGAGTGACTCCAAGGAAGGTCTTCTTCACACCTGTTACGTTGCACCTGCCGTTCCCTCCGCCTATCTTTCCTGACACCTGTTTCTCTGCAGGCAAACCCCTTACTCATTTTTTAGACCCCGCTCTTAAGTCTACTCTGTGAAGTCTTCCTTGACCACCCCCACGCAGTGCATAGCTGACCTCAGCATCTTCAGAATACCTTGACCTTCCTTGGTGCCCTCAAGTTGCTGACTATCTGGTGGGGTCACACGGGGCAGACAGACAGGCAAACGTACACTCAGTTCTGTGAATTCAGCAATTGCCTCCCATAAGGCAGGGGTCCTCAACCTCCAATATCTAACGCCTGAGGACCCGGGGGTAGCTGATGTAATAGAAATAAAGTGCACAGTAAATGTGACGCACTTGAAGTATCCCCAAACCGTCCCCCCTCCCCTTACCCTCAGCCCTAGGAAAACTGTCTTCCATGAAGCCGGTCCCCCGAGTGGATAATGGTTGGGGACTGCAGCCCTGAGGAGTATAAGTGGGAGGAATCGTGGCAATGGTGTGACCTGCGGGGTGGGAGGGTGAACCACCCTCCCTTCTGGTGTTATGAGCATCTACAGTCTAACAAGCTGAATTTTGCGAACCTGGACCCTAAAATCAAATCACTGCTTTATTTGATGCTCAGCCAGCAAAGCAGTGGTCTGCTCTGTGGGAGAGCAAACTCCAGCCATCGGCCCCGTGGACTCACTGAGAGAAGGATGTGGGTCTGCCGTGGGATGTCTTCCCGAGAGAGGACAGGGCTGTTTCCCCAGAAGTGATTATCTCCTTATGGGCTTGCCTGGGAATCTGACTCCCACGCGGGCTGCAACTGACCAGTCACGCTGATTCAGTCATACCTCTTGGCTCCTGTGTCCGAGTTCTTGACCTCCTGGGAATTTGTCCCAGAGGTCTTCATATGTGTCTCCTGGTGCCCCGGCTGAGCCCAGACCCTGGCTGGGAGCCATTCTGTTCATCTTCGTTGGACAGAGAGAGTCGATGAGAGCAGTCTCCCCGGAAACCACACCCAGAGGCAGCAGATTCTGACTCGTCTAAAAAATTGTAAATCACATTTGGCAGTCTTTTAACCTGAACTGGCCACATCTGGGAACAGATAACTTCCTGGTGTTTCCCTGGTGAATCCCCTTCCTTGCATCTGCCTTACAAAGACGGAGGCTGGCAGGGAGAAGGAGTAACAGGGGCATCTGTATAATACCCTGTGATAGGTGATTAATGAATGGTGAATAATGAATGGTGGTGATTAAAACAATTGGAAATTCCCGCCTGAGGAGTCGCTGGTGAGGCAGGAACTCAGCAAGGCATCCTAATAAGGAGAGGTCAGAAGGCAGGGGAACTGAGGATGAGAGCTGTGACTCACTTGCCCACGTGTGGCGCCTGCAAGCTCTCCAGCCCGCAGCCCACGCACTGCTAACGTAAGGGTCGCCTTGGTTTTCTTTCAACCCGTGAGCTTTTGAAATCGCGCCGGAATCTGGAGCTTTGTCTGGGTTCCTGTGAACTTGGGTAATAGATCTTCAAAAATAACCAGACCAACGAAATACCAAGTTCCTGGGGAGACAAAAGAAAGAGACGCCCACCCATTTTCTTTAAATCGCAACGCATTTATCAAGCACTCAGATGTGCCAGCGTGACTGGTGGGGATAGGGTGGGGGGGTCGTGGTAGGAGGTTGAGATTGCTTCTACAGGGTTGAAATTTTCATTTCAAGGGGTGACGAATGGTGAAGAGCGGGCAAGAGGGAAGATGTGCAAGCAAGGTGTCCTTCTCAAACTCCAAGCATTTGTGATAAATGAGTTATAAGTTATTTTACTCAAGCAGTGGGGGTCTCTCTGC